TATGAAGGAGTGTAATTTGACAGGGAAATACAAGGGCATAAAGAGGTAAACAGGAGAAAGGTCATAGATAGGGCGATTAATATGAATACATTTGTAAAAATGAGAAGCCTCTGTACATCTTTCTCACTTTAATTACTTTGTTAGTCAATGGGATGCAATGAAAGTGCAGAGCCTAGCTTACATAGAAGCTCCTTGCAAAGACACATAGCAGCTGCTCAAGATTCCTAAGAGCTAAGGACAGTTAGCAGCCTTCTGCTTCAGAGAGTGATGCAGCCAATACCTCAGAGTGTTGTGCAGCCCTTCAGAAGGACCTCAGCAGGTTGGAGAGATGGGCAGAGAAACCCCTGAAATTCAACTCAGGCAAATGCAAGGTCCTGCACCCGGGGAAGGATAACCCCAGACACCAGTACAGGCTGGGGGTTTAACTGCTGGAAAGCAGCTCTGAGGAGAAGGACCTCTTGGACAACAAGCTGTTCATAAGCCAGCAGTATGACCCTGTAGCCAAGAAGGCCAAGGGTATCCTGGGGTGCATTAGGAAGGGCATTGCCAGCAAGCTGAGGGAGATGATCCTAACCTGGTGAGGCTATGTCCAGAGTGCTGTGTCCGGTTCTGGGCTCCTCAGGGCAAGAGAGACATGGAGCTCCTGGAGCAGGTCCAGAGAAGGGCAACAAAGATGATTAAGGGATGGGAGCATCTCTTATGAGGAAAGGCTGAGGGAGCAGAGCCTGTTCAGCCTTGAGAAGAGACGACTGACAGGGTACACCATCAATGTCTATATGTATCTGAAGGAAGAGTGCTAAGATGGATCCAGGTTTTTCTTGGTGGTGCCAAGCAATAGGACAAGAGACAAAGGGCAGAAACTGATGCAAAGGAAGTTTCACCTGAACACTGTTGCCTAAAAGGCTGTGGAGGAAAAAAGACTCCAGGCCAAATTAGGTAGGAGGTAAGATTGGGATACAAAAGGCTTTAATGAGCCCACAGGCTTCCAGGAATGCCACCACTACACTCCCGAACGCAGGTGTTTACAATTTTTATAATTATTTCCACCCAATCCCAGTCTGACCACCACCCTGGTTCTGTCCCCCAACACGCCTTTTGGGAATTGAGTCTGGGGGAGTTTTGGGACCCCCCTCTTCCTCATCTTCATCTTCCTCGGAGCACGTGCTGTTCCTGGAGGCCTTCCAAAGCTCTGGGCCTTATGGTCGTTGTGTCTATGGCTATATCTTCTTACACAGATTTTAGGGTGTTCTCTACAATTCTACCTTGAAAATGAGACTAAACAGGCTAATGGAATTTAGGGGAATTGATATGGGAATGGGTAACAGGTTTGCCATGTGTAATTGCTGTGTTAAAGGGTAAGGGATAATGTGCTGCTACTTTAAAATCTACATTCACTATATAACTACTCCTAGAATCTACAAAATTTAAAAAAAGAAATCAAAACTCTAAGACATCAACATGAAGAAGAACTTTACTGTGCAGGTGACTGAGCACTGGAACAGATTGACCAGAGGGATTGTGGAGTCTCCTTCACTGGAGATATTGAAGAACCGTCTGGACACAATCCTGTGCAATGTGCCCTAGGATGAACCTGCATGAGCAGGGAGGTTGGACCAGATGACCACTGCAGTCCCTTCCAACCTGACCAGTTCTGTGATTCTGTATGGTCAAAACCATTACAATTAATTATTAGGCCAACAAGTGGACAACATCAAATAATCCTTTCATCTTGTTATCTTTATAAAATACCACGTTCCAGGTTCAATTCCAATATTTTTTATGTCTAGTAAAATCTAGTATCTACAGAATTCAAAATTGCTCTGTACTTTTGCATTATGATTTTATGTGTAAGAAGCAGCAGTTAACTAGCAGACATTGTGCTGAACTTTCAGATGAGAAGTGCTCTTTTTCTCTTATGTGAACCAGTAGAACCAGCTAGAGCCTGGAGCTTCACATTTCACGTTCCTTATAACTGATTGCTGCTTAAAACCATTGGTTATAGTTTATTTATAGAATAATACATAGTTCACAATTAAATGACAAGCTATAATTGAATCAAAGGATTCTGCTGATGCCTTGACTTACAAGGGTGCAGCTCAAGAGCTTTATAAAGGGTGGCAGAATCTGAACCTAAATTACAGCCTCTAGTATTCAGTCTGGGATCACACATTACAATGTGTAATAGGGATAAAAGGATTATTATAATACTTCAGTATATAAAATGTATCAAATAGCAGATTTCAGAATGCTTGCAGAGGCATTCAGTTTGTGATGTGGGAGGCTAGAGATTATATTGCATGAGTAATAAAGCTAGAGGGAAAAGCATTTCATAAACACATTTATGTTCTTAAAAATATTCTGAAAATATTCCTAAATAACAGGAAAATCTATGTTTCATGGATAGTAAATTCATAATGTACTGTCACATGGCTATAACTGGTTGATTCCAGATGCCACATAGCTATTTTCTGGCATAATAGGGCAATAGCTTTGTTATAGAAAGAAAATATTAATTCTTCAGTGAATTTTTGAAAAAGCTTACAAAGATTAAAAACCATAAATTTAAATTAACCAGCATGAGAATAATACAGAAAAACTTGCATTTTTTCTAGTACAAAAATGTAATCACAAAAACATTTCACAGATCCAATTCAGAAAGATAACATTATTCTATTTGTGGAAGAAACATGACTGACAGAGCATACATTTTTTAGGCTAAAATCAAGATTATTCTTAACATAGCTATTGTGTTGTTTTACAACGTGCTTCCTTAAAAATAAGTGAGGATAAACCTTTATAGATTTTTTTTTTCATACAGTCTGCTAATCTGTGGTTTATCTGTTGGGCTATAAGCAAGGAAAACAATCAATATTTTATTGTGTAGACATTTAATCCATCAGATATTTACCCTGGTTCCTCACACCAGGCTGTAATTAGTCCAGGAATTCCCTAATGTGTCCATGGTGACTCTGCACAACAGCTGATGCTATGGAACCTATCATATGCCTTCCAAAGTGTTTCTGCATTTTCCTCTAACCTCTCCAGTGTAAGAGATAAAACAGTAGACTATAAAGGCATTGGTCAGACCTCAGGATAGAATTTCTCTGTGGATTTAGACTACAATTAATTTCAGATCTTACTGAAATTGGAAGTATTCAAGACTTTGAACTTTGTCAAAAGTATGTTTACAGAATAGCTCTTTGGGAAAAAGTGGGGAAAGGTTGTTACTTTGTTTTCTGATAATTATCAATCTTTCATCTGTGTAGGAAATCACAGATGTGAAAAGTCTTAGCACATAGAGAAAATAATGATTTTTAATACGAAGTTCAGCAAACTCTGCTTTACATTGCCATTTTTTTCCTGCAAAATATTTAATGCAGAATTGAATTCCAGTTCTGAATAACACATAATATAGTCATTATACCTTTTCTTAGGTTCCCATTCTCAAAGTCCAGATGAGGTCATGTGACATTATTTTCAAAACTACCTTTCCAATAAAGTGCAGTTTAATTATAATTTCCATTCAAGTATTACTTTTCCCTCTGGCAATAAGATGGAGGACAAAGAAATACATTCTAGTTTTAAAATTTATGATAATAAATGTGTGGAACATACTAGATTTGGCCAGATAGGAATTTATGAAGGGGAGCAAGACAGAAAGCTATAGACCCTGCAATAAAAATACCCATAGAAAGGACAAGGGTGAGGGAGGATAATATTTACTAGTAAAAGAGGATTACATTGACTTGTTTCTATCTCAGCAATGTTCAGAAACAGTAACAGAGGTGGTAAGTAAAGATGAGAGAAGGGGAAAGAGCTGTTGAGCTGCCTTTTGGAGAAACTCAGAAATAAGATGCAGCATGTGGTATATGAATATTTGAGGCTCCGAATTAGGCAAAGGTAGTGTTTTAATTATACAGGACAGATACTTGCATCAAGAGAAATATGTTATCAAAGTAGACCTTTGACTCAGTATATTGGCCAAAATGTTCCTGTCTGTGTTTTAGTCCAGAGTACGCATTGCTGGGGACAATCACAGATGTGAAAGCTGGTTTTGTTTGGTTTTGCTTATTTGGATAGTTTGTAAAGTATCTGGAAACGTTTGCTAGAAAATACAAAAAGCAAACATAAAAGGTAAAAAATTTCTAAAGAGCTCCATTCCCAGTTAGATATTTACATTAAACAACTGGTTTTCCAAAAATGCTGTAACCTGTCAAGTCCCTCTTAGAACAATTTGAAAATCTAGCCACTTCTCCAAATTGCCTAATAGAAATCTGAGATCCTTTGATAGCCTTCCACAATTCGTTTTGTTTTTTAAATATTATATCATTTTAGGGTCTGAAGATAAAAAAAACTTTCATGTATTTCTGCAGTACCTGGATTGCCATGCAAACAAGTGATACAATTTTAAATAATTTTCATGAGTTCACCTAGGTTTATACGTGAAGAATTTGTACCAAAATCTTTTTATATTGATCATTGATCACTGACCACTGAAACAAGACAGTAATGAAACAGGACAGTGAGCATACTCTGTCTTTCTTACAGAGACAGTAACAGTTTAAGGAGATAGACCACGGATAGAGCAAATTTGTTAAACCTCTTATTCATGGTTTAATGACACATTAATCTAAATTAATCCAAATTCTCTCTTTTATTTCTTCAGATTCATCCAAATTAATTTTTTACCACTCTCACTTAGCTGGCTCTTTTCCATGGAAGAGCTGGGTAGCTTTTTCCTTGAATCTTAGATTAAAAATGATTCTGATCTATATTAATTTAAATAACCTTTTGTCAGTGTGAATGAAACTTAGTGATTCAAATATTTGCAGAAAGTAAGTAAGTATTAATAATTAAGCAAGCTAAACCAAAATTACTTTAATGAAGGCAAATGTAGTACATTTCTTGTGATGTTTACCTTGCTGCTCAGTAAACACTCCTCATATTGTTCGTGTTTTGCTGGGCAGAACTGTAGAACATTTTCTGTTGGTTGAACTTACCTCCCCTTCTGTGGACTGTAAATGCAGTTCTTTCCTACAGGTAGCCTTTAAGTCTCCTGCAGCTGCACTGACTTGCACTCCCCTGGGTGCTTCCATTACCAAAGATCTAGTAGGAGATTCAAGTCTGAAAGACAAAAAGAATCACTGAGAAAAAGTGCACTGAATCGAACCACCAAAAACTTCTCAGGCTCAAAACCCATCATACATGTAGATATTACATACTTTCAAAGGCAAAGAAGTAAAAACAGATTATAAGTGTGATTGCTTCACTACCTTTTATGACACAGAGAAAGAAAAAGCTTAGGTATGTATTTAAATCTATTCCTATTTAAAGTAGCATTTAAGAATATACTGATATAAACTTTTCTGCCTAGTGATGCTTTCTGGCATTAGCACCTAATTTACTCACACTAATACTCATACTAATACTGAAATATAGGTACTTAAGAATTCCCACGTCTCTGTGAATGTTTCTGTAATGACAGAAAAGTCTGCTTAAGTGACCGATTATAAATGTTCAACTAAGTAAAGAGAAAACAAAACACTTTAAAAGTTTTAAATAATGATGTAAAACTGGTTAGAATGACTTTGCCTTCACAGGTTTATTCATATTTTGGGTATGTTTAGCAGCACCATAGATGAAGAAGAGAGGAAAAGAAAATCTGTTATGTCACTGTTATTGCAAGGTTTCACATGCTTTTTCTGTTCTGCAAAATATGATCCTCATATAACGCTGTTTTAATAGGGTTAAAACATATCACTGGGTTTTCATATCTTTACTCAAAGCTACTCTTGTTGTTCTTTTCACTTCTCTCTACCCTACACTCAAGATCCTCCATCAACTTGATGCAGAACTATGATACATTTTTAGCTGAGCTACCTCATCATATTGCAGAGGTTTCTCTTAAAAGGGAAGTACTGATACAAAGATTTTGTAGAAGTCATACTCACATGCTGAATATGAAAGATGATAGGACGACAACTGTATTGAACTAGGAAACAACATTTCAGATACTCTTGAGTTGTAGACTTATCGCATAGCATTGTAAGGAAGGGAGACAAAATGTTTTAGTCTATTTATATCTCAGTTATATAATGTTTGGACACAGTTCCACTTTACTTGAACAAAGGCTTTTTTTAAGATGAAATATGCTAATGATAAAAATGTCTAGACTGTGTAGCTTGAAGAAAACACCGTATTTCCCTCTTCAAAAAATTATGAGTGTTAAGTCATATCACATCCAAAAATATAATGAGGTACTATATGTATAAAGGAGAGAGTAGTATGACCAATAACTTGGTGCAGAAAAGCTTAATGAAAGATCTGTCAAGCAATGGAACAAGAGAATTTCAATGTATTTCACCTATTGCATTTTTTAAGTACATGGAATAGTGCTGAATTATCATTTTGAAACCAAAATGACACATTTGCATGTAAAGCAAGTCACTGACATTTCTGTTTGTTACATGTCACTAACATTCAATAGGGAAAGGAAGGAATAAATAAAAAGGAAAGTATTTATTCAGTGATGTAAAATGAACCTATTAAAAGTAGGTGTCCAGATAGAGAAAAACACTATTTGTAGATACCTATACAAAACCCCATACATACATACATAGGATATATATAGATATGAGCAACATGAGCAGTAGAAGGATATAGTGCTAGGCCATTTTCTTTCTTTCCTTCTATCTTTCTTTTTTTTTTTTTTTTTTTTTTGACACTCTGTAGGGAGAAGTTATTAGAAGGTTCTGCAGTTCTCTGTACCAGGAAGAATCTAAATATCATCAAGTGTTCTTCACATGGTTTGTGAACGTCTGATCGCTACAGAACAGCAGAAAAAGAACTTCCAAAACATTTTATAAAGCATATAAATTATAAAGTTTAGCAATTAGGTTTTTGAAAGTACTCCATTGCCTTAAAGAGGTTTTACCTTGAACTTCAAAGGAAACTGAATGGTATAAATGTTAAATGATTGGATTCTTCCATTCCATATTTTTCAGCAGCACACTTTTGCAATTTATAATCTATTTTCCAGGAATATTAACATTTCTCAGTGGCTTCTGCTGCCATTTAATAATCATAAAGACAAAAGTGCTCTTAGCTACAATGAATTGATGGGTCTTAGCAAGGTCACAAATATTTCTGGATTCATAACATCAAAACCAGTCTCAGACCTGACCAAAAATTTTCAGCAGGTGGACAATAAAAATATATTTAGGAATATCCATCAAGGAACTACTGTTTTCTTTGTTTACATAGCTCAGAGTTGTTTGTTCTAGTTTCATCAGTTTCCCATGAACTACATTAACATAAATAACTTCCAGTTTGTCTAAAATTAAGATATTTGGGCAATTAATTCCTTAACTTGAGAAGCTGGTAATATCAGCCTGCTACATACCATGGGGAAGAAATTTATTTTTCAGAAAATAGATTTTTTTACTCTCCTGAATTTGAATAATGTGGTAGAAATGTCAAGGAAGGACTGATGATCATCAGGGTAGATTTGAAAACACCACCCATCAATTAGTAAAAATTAATGCCTAAATCTGTTTTACAGTTCTAATTTACTTTTCTTATTATTATTCTCTGGTTCATCTGCATCTGAAAAGTGACTTAGCTACAATCTGTAGCATGCTACTGGAAATACAAAAGTCTATATACATAGATTATTTCCTCAATGTTTTGAGATAAATTAAGTTTGATATGCAGCTTCTTTATAATATTTTTCTTTGCCACATTTCTGAAAGCTTTAATCTCTACTATAAACTTATTGTAGCACTTCACATTGTAATACTCATCCCTCCAAGGAAAAGCGCATTATTACAATAGCATATGGAGAATTTGCTTTTCTTTGAGATTTACTGATGGCCTGTCACAGTGGCATTTACATCTCTGAGTGAATCCTATTCATATAATTAATTTTTCTTTCCCAAACAGCAAAATGCTCTGATGGAGAAGGTAACTATTGCTATTATTAGACAGAAACTACAAAACTGTAGGAAAGACAAAGAGGCTTTTTAAAAGAGGTTTTTAAATAATATAATCGTTCAATTTGATATATGAGATGAAGACAGATGATCTTATCCACAGCAGAGAAGGGCTTTTTCTTTTTAATTATCACTGGTTAATTTGTGAAAAAAAGACAAATTTCATAAGATCAAAGCAATATGAATTTGAATTGAAATAATTAAAGAATTATTTCTAAAAAAGGAAACTTTTAAAATATCATTAATATGTTCCTTTGAAGGTATTAAAATACTTCTCATCAGAAATGCAGAAACATTTTTTCTTCATTTGGTATTTTCCATTTACAAGCTGACCTAGATTGAATTAGAGGAAAACAATTAAAAAAAATTAACCCAAACGTTTCATTTTGGGTTTTAAGCAATATTTTATGTTTACCTCTTGCACATCCCTCCTACTTACATGCGATGAAATTTATCTATGTTAATTTTGCTCTGTTAAATAGCAGAAAGTATTTCTTAAAATAGAAAGAAATAGAAGATTTCCCTGTGCAGAAGTTAATACTTTATGGGCTTTTATGTGTTTTTTTAAGCATTATATCCAACCCATGCTACTTAGTTAAACAACTGATATGAACCTCTACCAATTTGGAATTTGTATTCTAAACAGGGGATTAAAAATATGCTTTCAACTAGAGGTCACACATATAAAACAGGTACTCATTTCCCTTTTACTGGCGTCTTTACATTTGGGGATAAAGAAATACTTCAACACTTCCCAGTATTTAAATCTTATATATGATAGCCTTGCCAACACACATCTTTGTGTCTTTTTTTTCAGTGAGCATAGGAATCCTGTTATGAAAAAAAATAGTTTTACAGCTATGAAAACAATGGAAAGTCCATACATTTACTTACTAAGCTTTTAGTAGATTTCTATATAGATTAAAATAATTGTGACATGGATTTTGCTACCTGTAGGTCAAAAGATGTGGCAGACTGGGACCGCAGAGAGGTAAGATGCACAAAGAGGAGAAGGCAGACAAACAGATGTGCCGAACCTATTTTCCTCTTGTAAACAAGAGCTCCCAACCACAAAAACCCAGAGAATGCAGGATCTTCCTCTTCCACAAGTGAAATAATTGTGTTCCAAATTAAGAATTAAGAATTTTTTTTTCAAAATAATTTTGAAAATATTGTTTTCCAGAAAGCTCAAACAATTTGTAATATCTATTCTTTCCATTTCTATTATTATGAGAAAAGAACAGCTGGCTGCCTGATGCTCAAAGAAACTGATTTCAAGAGTCTTCCACTGAGACTAAGGGTCCTTAAAGGCGTCCACTGAACACTGATGTTGCTAGGTAAAATTAGGGTTTATACTAAGTCCATTTCCTGGAAGTCAGGCTGCAACATAAGGAAGAGCCAGGGACATTTATGATCATGGTGACAAATAAAATCTGAAGTCCTTTTATTAAGATATTGCAAATATTCAAACAGTGGATTCCTGAATAACTACATTTGACATCCAGTGGAAATGATACGGAAATAAAATTCCTATTCACTCATTACAATCTCATTACTTATACTATTTACAAGATTATATGTGCACATTTGAACATATATATGAAAGTGACTAAAAATACGTTGATGCATTTACATGTATAGAAATATGCACCTCTTCAAAATGCATATGAATCATTACCAGAATATTTATTTTTCCTGAACCTTATTGTATTCCAACTTTTTTTTTTTATTATTTTTATTATTGAAATGCAAGGGTAAATCTGCAGATCTCAAAATCCTTAATATAGTTTACTGATCATCTTTTCTTTACAAAGAAACAAAGTTCTCATACTTTCACATGAAACTTTGATTTTGTTGAAACTTAAACTTGAGCATGATTTGGCTGTCAGATTTTTGACAACACCGTTGCTCAGTAAGTATTTAACTCAGAGAGTTAAATAAGTGTTTTATGGAATTGGTATTAGCCTAAACCAGCAAATACAAACTTTTTTTTTTGGGGGGGGGAGGTGTTTCAATTTCCAATTTGCAACTTATGGAAGATAAACTTAAATAGAGAGGAAAGTTTTGTGACTTAAATCAGAACAGTAGAATGGCATTCAGTACAGCATTTCACGTTATGTCCATGCTCTGCAT